CCCCCTTATTGTATCACCCCCCTCGGCCACATGCCGGTATTCGGGCTGACGCGAACCATGTGCGCACGTAGACACTCGTTGCCTCCGAAATAATAAATAAACGCCCTCCGTTTTCTGTATCAACTACCTCGGCCGCAGGACGGTCTTCGAGGGCGTCGACGACGAAACGGTCGTGTTCGTGCTTGGCGACCACGGCATGACGGAGGACGGCAACCACGGCGGTGCGACCCCCGAGGAGACCGGTGCCGCTCTGCTGGTGTGGAGCCGATCCGGGGAGAGACTTCTCGGCCCGGCCTTTAACAACCGCCGCAACAGCAGGGGGGCGCCTTCTGGCGGACGGGAGAAGAACAGCGGTGCCACGGGCGGCGCATCTTCCGAAACCCTCGCTGGTGCTGACGGGGGCTCGACGGACAGGAGGCAGGGAGGGCCCGCCCAGGGCCACGGAGATTTGGCGGCGGGGGAAGAGGAAGGAAGCGAAGAAGAAGATCATTCTGGGCCAGTGCCAGCGGGAAGAAGGGTCGCCCAGATCGACCTTGTTCCGACCATCTCTTTGCTGCTGGGAACGCCGATTCCTTTCGGGAGCCTGGGAGGGGTCATCCCAGAGGTGTTCAGCGGTCCGTACTTGGACGGCGTGGGGAGCGGGGACGATGAGCGCAGGCCCCGTTATCTGGAGCGGTTGTGCGATGCTCTTCTGGTCAACTCTCTGCAGGTAGGCGGGGAGGGGGGGGTGCTACGAATGGGATGGGATATGCGTCGTCCTTGTGCGCCTTTTCGTCGTTGGGTATGGGATGGGATCGCACGTAGGAGAATGCTTTGCCGGAAAGGCCATGTTTCGTATTCGGAGGCGTCTCTCAATAGCTAGCGAGACAGATCGGGGAGGGAGGATCTGGCAAGCGCATGTATCGCCTGGGTTTCGGCTAGCGTGGGTGGTCAGGAATGCCCACGAGCAGCTTAGCTGCGAGTTAAACAAAAATCCTGGGCGCACGCACTTTACGAAAGCACGAGAGGCATCACAGCAAAGCCGCCCGAAACAGCAAGCGGCGAGGCCAAGCTAAACCCCTGGGTACATTGAGCAGCGGCCCTACCACGGTTTTAGAGGGATCTTGAAGAGAAAGTGTGGATTCGTGAGATTGCAAGTGGCTGCCCCGGTTGATGAGGGGTAGGTGTAATGCACATTACGGCGGTTTAGGAGGAAACCGGGTTTAAGAGAGTGCTTTTTTCTTACACCGCGTAGATTATTTCTCAGCAACGTATTATACTACACTCACACTTCTTTTCCCGCCCCTTTTGGCCCCTTCGCGTGACGTGAAAAAAACGCAACTGCTGTAACTCGTTTCTCTCTCGATCGATCGATCTTAAGGTGTGGAGATACCTGAGCGACTATGCCAGCGTGGCGTCGATGCCGACGAGAGACATGTTCGACCTAAAGGAGCTGCTTCTGGCGGCACGCGAAGCCCACACGGAGTGGAGACGACGACAGCAGCAGCAACGAAGGTGAGTTCTGCGATAATGCTGTGTAGCTCCCGCTGTGTGTGTGTGTGTGTGTGTGTGTGTGTGTGTGTGTGTGTGTGTTGGCATCGACCCCACTCTCCGACTGACCAGTGAAAATTCGTCAGTCTCAGTGCGGTTGAAAACTGATAAAAACATATATATATTGGCCAAGATCTGGGACCCCGTGAGAGGGTGTCATGGGAGAGGCTAAGCTACTCTCCCGAAAATAAGTGTGTGTTTATTTTTGGTTCATTCCTGTGGTATCCAGGTACTGTAGGTCCTTCGGGGGATGTGGGTAGCATTGAAGTGCTTGTGAGCGCAATGGGGAGTTGTATCGACCGTGTGGCGTGGTTGTTTCTTGTTCGAGACCCGTGTGTGCAGATATCTTCTCTCGAGGGTTACTGATTGTTTTTGTTGGCCGCGTTTGAGTAATTGGTCCGATTATGGTCATGCAGTTTGCTCTGTGTGATGCACCTACCATGGGTGGGTCCTGCTTCTCTCTCTGTTGTTGTTGCTGCTGGTGCTGCTGGTGCTGCTGCTGGTGCTGCTGGTGCTGCTGTTGCTGCTGCTGCTGCCTTTTCGCTGGTGATGCTGATGCTGCTGCTGTTTTTGTCCATCACTCCCAACAGCAACATACGGCACACGGGTTGTGTCTTGTCCGACAGCGGCCATCACTACAAGTTATGGAGATACTCTCAGCTTCCCTACCGACCGTTAGTTCCGGTGAAAGAACGAGCTTCCGTCACAATTCAACGACACCCTCCTCCAACCGCCGTCGACATCAGCATCAGCATCAGCATCATGGCAACATTCCCCCCCCCCCCCCCCCCCCCCCCCCCCCCCCCCCCCCCCCCCCCCCCCCCCCCCCCCCC